CTTAGCTCCTCACAGTCGCACAGTAAGCGCTTTACCAAACGGGCCCCATGCTCAGCCCCTGGGCTGTGCTCTTCTGTGGTGCTCCCGGCTGTGGGGGAGGAGAGAACAGTGGCAAGCATGGTGGTCACTGCCCTGATGAGGCACCGCTCTGGGCGGGCCGCACGTTCGTTCCTTTAACTGTTAAAGTAGACTACAGGTGGGCCCAGAGGAGGAAGTAGTGTCACGGAGCTGTTCAGCACGTTCTCTGTGATCATACAGCTTATAAGTTGCAGAGTTGCCCAGCACTTGGGAGGCAGAGGCAGGAGGATCTCTGAGTTCAAGGCCAGCCTGGTCTACAGAGTTAAGTTCCAGGACAGCCAGGGTTACACAGAGAAGTTCTGTCTCAGGAAAAAGAAAGGGGGAAAAAAAAGGTGGCAGAGTCAGGAATTGAACAGCTGGTTTCTCTCTCACCCACCCTGGACTGAGAGTGCTTCTCCACACTCTCGCACACCTCCTGGGGGAGAGCCTGTAGTGAAGAGAGCCCCACACACACACCTGCACCTGGGTCTGGCTGGTCCAGCATGTTCTATACTTCCCATCTGGCTCTGGTGCTGGCACTGGGCCCTGAGTTCCCAAACCTGCCCCTGCCCCTGCCCCCACTCCTCCTCAGCTCAGGGGACTGCCCCACAGCCGAGGTGGCACCTGTCCCAGTCCAAAACCCACTGCCCTTCTGCTTTTGTGCACTCAGGATTCCCTGTGGGGACACGGTTTTGCATGCAGGAGGGACTAAAGCCAGCCTGCCTATTCTGGTGTGGCCATCTGGGAAGTGGCTGTTTGCCGCCTTCCTAGAAGTTTCCTCTCCTCACTTGCAGACACAGGCCTCCTTTGTTCCCTACAGTGGAACATCCTGTTCCAGAGTGGCCAAGCCGCTCCTTCCAGAAAGAATCTCGCTGGGCCATAGCTAAAGTGAATATTAATAGCTATCAGCAGCTCGTGTGTTATGTACTGCCGGTATCCATGGTGGACACAGGAGGCCCAGGAGGGGACAGTAGAGTCCAAAGCTACTGAGTGTTGGAGGAGGTGGGTACAGGGTTCGAACTTAGTGGTCTGGTTTCAGGCCAGCTCTCTCAGCCCTCATCGCTGCTGCCCATGTGCGGGGATGTGTCCTCTGGCCTGTGATTGGCAGATGCCCCCTGTATGATTGGCAGGTTGCACACGGCACACACAGCCTTAGGAGCTACAGCTTCTGAGCTCTGACTGTTGACAATGGCTTTCTGGCAGATGGCAACTGGTGTCTCACACAGTTCTCACGCTGGCATTCATGATGGCCCCTGTGCGTCCTCTGCCCTGTGATCAGACACCGAGGGTTAAGAACCTGCCCCACAGATGCCAGGCGCCAGGCCTCTGCCATGTACCAGGAAGGTCCTGTGCTCTACTCCTTGTGTGCAGTAGGAGCTCACAGCCCTTAAACAGTTGCCACATCTGAAGACCCATTGTCTGTCATGGTCCCCTGAGATAGGTGTGTTGTTGTTGCCGTCCCAAGGTAGGGAAACCGAGGTTTAACAGGGCTTGGCAACCTGCCCAGACCAATCCCAAGGCTGTGTCCTGCCCAGCCGAGATCTCTTATCTCTTGTTCCATTGCTGCCTCAGGCTTCTCCTTTATCGGAGGATGTGACCCAGTGAGGCAGGGGTCATCTTCCGCTCAGTTCCCAGTACAGTCCCGTCAGGTACCAAAAGGCTGTGGCAGAGGAGAGGGGCTCTGGAATGGGGACAGCTTGTTCTCTGGCACGGCTGCCCCGCAGCTGCCTGTCCCTCTCAGGGTGTCATATAACCTGTTCCCTGGAAGACAGGCAGGAAGTAAGGAGGGAAACAGGTCCAGGATGCTCAGGACCAGTGGGATAGGGACTGTCAAACCTGTTCTTCCTTGCGAGGCTCTGGGCCCAACGCCTGCTGAGGGCACGTGACTATGGCATTAGGGTCCTAGTAACAGCACTAAGCCAGGAAGAGAAAGCGGAGAGGCAAGAACAGACAGGCCAGGGGAGGAGGCTTTGTTCCAGCCTCAGGTTATCTGTCTCAGTTCACGTCACTGTGAGTTCCATCTAGTTGGATGGTCCTTTGAGAGACATCCCTGCGCCAGGTCCCCTGGGACATGGTTGCAGGGCAGCCGCTTGCCCAGTAGCTCTACCGGCCTCGAGCAGGTCCTGCACTGCCCAAAGCACAGGGTTTTGAGGTCCTTGGTGTCATGAGCCCTGCCCGTTGTCAATGCCACTAGTACTCCTGTTTCCCAGGCTGAGGTCAGGGTAGTCTAGTGCAGAATCTGAGCCGAGATGGCCACAGCCCTAGGCATCTGAGTCTGATGGACTTTGCTGTCCACCTAATCTGCCTCACCGAGTGGCCCCTATCTATAAATGGGGTGCCAGGCCTGGGGCTCCTGTGTGTTCCTGGGAGTATATGCAGTGGTCAGTGTGTGACAGTCCTTTTTCATCTTGGGGTGCCTGCTGAGCGCCCCCTGTTTAAGTGCACCTCCTGGGCACAGAGAACAGGGAGTGTGCTCTCCTTCCTGGAGCTAACATTGTCTAGGGACCGCTGAGCATCATCAAGATGTTGAAACTGATTTAAAAAGTGCCACGGGGCTGAGGATGTAGCTCAGCGGTGGAACACTCGTCTAGCATGTCCAAGCTTTGATTCCCCAACGCTCACCAGAGGAAAGATAATCAAATGGTGGACAGTGCTGTGAGACATTTCAGTGGACAGTAGAAGCCCCCGAGGAGGTGACATTGGAGCTAAACTCTGAGGGATGAGAACAAGGAGAGGAGAGAGTAGAGTGTACAAGTGTCTTGTGGCAAAAAGGATGGAGAAAAAGTCTGAATAGGTGCGGTATGGAGTGGTTGGGTAGTGAGATTCTGGGGTCCTGCTGCTAAAGCAGGAGCCAAATGGAGAGAGCCTCAGATCCCTGAAGTTATTGACAAGCAGCATCTTGGCCTGGCTCTGGTTCCTGTCTGTCCCGTGGATGTCTGTTCCCGGGCCTGCAGTGACTCAGAGGGGGGGGGGGGGTGTCCCAGGAAGACATTGAAATGCTTAGACATACCATGCAGGCATATTTAGAGGCTTCTCAGAAGGCCCCATGTCCAGAGCGGACGGGTGCCAGAGCTGGGCAGGCACAAGGCTGAGGTCCTTCTTCCCCGTTACAGCAGAAGCAGAGGCGCCAGGCACTCCTGTGGTCTGAGGAGTCTGTTTCCTTTGCTGGGCCTGTCACCTCTGGCTGGTCTTCCCGGACCCTTCAGCGATATCTTTGTGGCCCCCTCCTCCAGGGGAAGGTGAGGCCAGTGGAACCAAACACCGCTGGCCTGCTGTTGCCGGTATAGGAATGATCCGATGCCCAGGGACTTGGCAACTGAGTTACTGTGTGGGGAAGTGAGGCCCACGTGACTAGCAGCCTTAGGTCCGTTCCCATGTACAGCAGTAGCCAGCTACCGTGGGAGGCAGGCCCCGGCCAGGAGAGCAAACCTGTGTGCCTTGTGGTCCTTGACTCTTGCCCTCTGGGAGGTCTCAGGGGCTTGCCGGGAACTCATTGGGTGGCTACAGATGTGGTTCTAATTGCTTAAGATCCAGCCTGGCTTAGCCTGGCCCGCTGCCCCCCCACCCACCCACACCTCCACCTAGTACTGGGGAGACTGTGGCACTGGCTTTGAGATCACTCACAGTGGCAGTGCCCACACTGACCTGGCTGACCGCCGTGTCCCATAGGTTTTCCCGCTCAGATGAGCTGTCACGGCACCGGCGATCTCACTCGGGTGTGAAGCCGTACCAGTGTCCTGTGTGTGAGAAGAAGTTCGCGCGGAGCGACCACCTCTCCAAACACATCAAGGTGCATCGCTTCCCACGGAGCAGCCGTGCGGTACGCGCCGTCAACTGAGTGCGGTGGCCACCCCACCCGCCCCCAGCCCCACGCTTGGTTTTTAGATGCAATAACTTATTGCCTCCTTCGGAAGGATGTGACAATGTTACCAGCCCCCTTCTGAATCTTAGGAGGTGTGACCCAGAGCCGCCATGGCTGCCTTTCCGGGGAGGACCTAGAGTCCCCAAAGGTCCCTGGGGGCTGGTTCCCCTGGTGGCCCAGGTGGCCCAGGCAGGCCTGCGCCCTTGTGCCTTTGTGCCTTCCTGCCAGCTGGAAGGGTTGTTTGGGGGGCCCTTACCCTTCTCCCATTTGGCTCCCTACCTGGGCCAAAGCCAACATTATTGCTGGGGAAGAAGTGTTTTGGTTGTGTCGAAACAGTTCCCAGAGGGAGCCATGCTGGGAAAAATGGAGTAGGTCAAAAGTGTAGGGCTGCACTGTGGCATGAGGACCGTACCATATGCAAGAGGCCTTTGAGGGTCCAGGAGGATGGCCACCCTCGTTCTAGGCCACAATGCATGTGCTTAAATGCAAGACAAATGGAGCCATATCCATCCATGTGTACCCAGCCTGGCTCGTCGGCCTCCCGACGTCAGCCTCCCGGTTGCGGTGGGAGGAGACAGGAACAGGCCTGGTGGATGCAAAGCAACTAGCTAATGCCTCCCAGTCTGACTTAGATTTGCATTCCTCATCAGGTCTAGAAATTAGTACCAATTGGACTAGCTTGTTTTGACAGGTCTATTTCACATCCTATGAATGTATGTAAATAAACTGTACATAGGTACGCATCTACATAAAATATCTTTTAATAACACGTTGACATTTGTGTAAATTTGAAATTAAAAAATTCTATAAAGTCGGTGTACATATGTTACAATTATGTATATTTTCTTTGGTCCTTCATAAAAATATATTTACTTTGCCAATAAAAAGAGAAAAAAACTCAACCGTTCTTTGGTTCCTGGCCTGGGACATGGGGGTGATTCTGGGGCTCTGCTCCTTCCAGGTCCCTCTGTGGACCTTCCTCTCTTCAGCTATGTTCTGATGTCACCTGTGGAGAGTGTCTCATGCCAGCTAGTCACTGCCATTTGAGACCCTTACTGGGTGCTTCCTGTGTGCAGGGCAGCGGTCCATTCTTTCAGCCCTCCCTAGGAAGGTGGCTGGCCTGTTTCCTCCCTGCGTGGTGATTTTGACATCTAAGGAATCTTCTCCAGGCAGGGCATGGACTTAGGACTTCCTCTGCCTACCCAACACCCCGCCCAGGACGATTGGGGTTTCTACCATCGGGTTCTACTCTCAGGTTTGGATCCAGGCACACATCCTCTACAGCCCGGGCTCTAGGACCACTGGGAGCAGACAACAGAGAGAAGCTGTGGGCTCTGCAGGGATTGACCCCAGGGAGTTCTGGCCTGGTCTGATGAGGACTAGCCGGCTCAGCAGCTCAGCCGGTGTAAGGTGCACAGTAGGCAGACCTCTCTGGTTCACCTATGCATAGTGTAAGGTGACACCTTCTAGAAGTGGCCCTTTCCTATTGACCCCACTAAAATAGCTGGGTGCTAACTGGGCGAGGGTTTCCCAGGAGCCTCTCAGAGATGTGGAGGCAGCTGGCAGGTAGGTTTCCAACGGAGAGATTCCTATACCATATGGTGTGAAGCTGTCAGTCTCAGAATATGGAGGCTGGCTTGGGTAGGCCCGCTAATCTGTTCTGTCCAGTGGGAGCTGGCAGTCATTGGGCATTCATGTGTGACCAATAATTAGAAGATGGACATTCCATCTGACCAGCTTGTGACCTCTGCCCTTTGCCTGTAACCACATATACCTTCTGAGGACAAACAGGCCCTGAGGAAATGAGACATTGACTTCCAGCTGTATTAGTGTCATTTCTCTTCATCCTAAACAATCAAGGCAGCCACAGACAGAAGGGACATTGGATGGACAAAGGAGGCCTGTTGGGGGTCATGTCGGTGACACTGAGAAGAGGAATAAACCATGTCCCATGTGCACGTCTGTGGCCGAGGATGGATGGGCATGCTCTTCCTGCTCATCCGTACGTCACCAGCAGTCTGGTTATTCTAGCCAGCTGAACTGTGAGCTGTCTTGGGGCAAAGAGTCGGGTGGTGGTGGTTGTAAGTCATCATGGACTCCTGAGAGCCTCACCTGAAGCCCGTTTTCTCACCCCTCACTGCAGGAGGGGCCGAGGTGACTCACAGCAAGGCGGAGAGGGTGGAGGGCTATTGTGGTCTCCCTCATGCAGCCTCTCAATGATGCCATTGAGTGGTGGGTTTCTGCTGCTCCAGATTGCATCTGGACCCTGCACAACATGCTGGTGAGAAAGTGCCCAGTAGTGTGATGGTCAATGGTAAGTGGGGTACAAGCCTACGTCTCGGCAGAGTGAAGGCTGGAAGACTGGGGCCAGGAGAGGATGGAGGTGGTGTAACCTGCACTATGCCCTTCTGTCCTCAGCGCTTTCGGTGGCTGCAAGAGAATCTTTGTCCTGTTCTATGTGCTGAGAAGGCAGAAGGAGACATAGTCCTGTGGCCCTGCAATTATTTGTATTAGGGGAGGAATCTGGAAGGTTATGAAACAGGTAAAATGAGCCCAATCTCCCCCAAGGTCTTTGGTTAAAAGCAGAGCACTGTGAAATACTAGTCAATTGTTTTTAATGTTAATGATAAGCAATCCTTTCTCATGTTTATTTTTTTTTAAATAACTGAGTTTCTGGGGGCTGGAGTGATTTGACTCCCCAACTGACAGCTGTCACACCTCTCCCTGATGCCAGGCTGCCTTAAGTGGTGGACTGCCCGATCTGCAGTTGCCAGTTGCCCTCACGGCACCCGGCTGCTTTGAACCCTCCTGGATGCCTTAGGGAACTGCACTGTGATCAGCTGCTGGCTGCGGAAGCATGATGCTGGCTCCTGAGGCACCATCCAAACCACACTGGTTTCAAACAACTTGCAAGAGACCTTCTGCCTGTCACCAGCCTCTCTGAACTCTGGATGACCCTGTAACCATTTCCACCCGCAGCAGAGAGGAGTCTTCCCCTGGTGGGCTCCAAATGAAGGACTGCGCTGTGGTTGGTGCAAACGCAGTTCATTTGCATGAAGCGCTGCCTCTGATTGGTGCTGGCAGCCTTGCCACACCCCCTTTCTAGATATATAAATCAGCTTTCCAGCACCTTACTTGAGTCTGCTGAGAAGCTCTGCTGCGCTTCTGTTCCAGGCCCGTGAAAGGCTAGTCCAGACCTAGGAGAGATGATAAAGCTGAGCAAGTGGAGAGGTGAGAAGCTCCGAAGTCTCAAGAAGCAGGGCCCCAGCCTGAAAGCGCTGACACTATCAGGGCTACAACAGCTTCCCAGAGCTGGGCAGCTGGGGGTTCAAGCGCCCGTCAATGAGCCTCCAGCCTGAGCATTTGGAACCCTGAGTCTCTGGCTTCTACAGCCACCCCCACCCCAACTTGCTTTGGAACTCAGACTGGCTTCAAACTTGCCATCCTCCTGCCTCCGCTGTCCAAGTGCTAGAATAGAAGGTGCGTACTAACACATCAGCTTCCTACTCAATGATTTCTACCCAGGCAGAAGGAAAGGTTTCCAACCCGCCTGTCCTAGTTTGGTTTCTGGTCCCATGATAAACACCATGGCCAAAGGCAGACTGGGGAGGGAAGATTTTATTTCATCTCACAGTCCATCATTGAGAGAAGTCAGGGCAGGAACTTGAAGCAGAGACCGTGGAGGAATTCTGCTTCTTGGCTTGCCGCCTGCTTCTGCGACTAGCATTCTTATACAACAACCTATTCAGGAATGGTACTGTCCACAGTGGGCTGGACCCTTCTCCATCAATGACCAATTAAGAAATCCCCACCCCACCCTACCCCCGACACACACACACACACACACACACACACACACACACACACACACACACGCTCACAGGCCAGTCTGATAGAGACAATTCCTCAGTTGGGGCTCCTTCTTCCCAGGTGTATCAAATTGATAACCAAAATCAACCATCACACAGCTCGTTGGTAGCAATCACAAAATGTAGCCATAGTGACGCGCTAATAGCGGGTAGCACACAAGTCAGCCCGCTGCAATGCAAAATTCCAATGCTGTGGCCTAAACAAAGTGGATCGCCACATTCCTCTGTGTAAGCAGTCTGAAGGGAAGCAGTGTGGGCTAATGAGGCGGCTCCTCCAGGCTGTGGGGTGGTATTGTAGATAGCTCAGCTGAGAAAAGCGAATAAGGGGCCTCATGCTGTTGCCCAGCCCCCAGGCATTGCCACGCCCACTCGTGCCACGCCTACTCATGCCCCCGTGACTAGAATGCCTCTGCTCCGATGCCCTCAGTTAGGACATGAGGGTCACTTACTGGTTTGAGTGGATAGTTGCAGCTTGCCCCGCCTGCCCCTTAGTGGCAAGCACCAGCAGCCCTTGCCTTCCCAGGAGTCTACAGAATAGCATCTCTGGTTGAGTTTGGCTCCAGGAGCCTTACCAATGTGATTTAGAGGCATCCCTGAGGAGTGTGGGGCCAAGGGTAAAACTTCTGGTGGGTTGTAAGGAGCGAAAACTGGAACTGGAGAAGCCAGGAACTTCCTGCGCAAGCTGCATTGGTTGAGGAGGCGAAGTCATAGATAGATGAAGGAATGAATCCTGACTGAACAGATGCAGAGTCTCCTGTACCACTATGAGATGCTCCTGAATAGAGCCAAGACCATGCACACACACACACACACACACACACACACACACACACACACACACACACACGATACAGCATCTAAAAAGCCAAGAATGGCCTTAGCTCCTAGGAGACCCAAGCACAATCAGAGTGCCAGCACAAGGTAGAAAGAGAGGGAGGAGGGGGAGGGGGAGGTGCAAGAAGGCAGCCAGTGCTGAGGCTGTGGTGGGGGTGGGGAAGTGTTGTGTGAGTACAGTTGGGAGGGAGGGACAGGAATGAAGCTGCTTAGACGCCGCCCCCCAGCACAGAGGGAAAGGTAGAAGAAAGAAATATGGATGGCTGGGACAGAGTGGCGAGGTGGGGGGCTTGAGCGAGACTCTAGGACAAACAGATCAATGCCAATGACACAAAACGCAGGCACAAAGCAAAGTTGTTAAGGTCCCCAGGGGGTGCTGATTACTGAAGCCCTGTCACTTTGACTGGGATGGCCATCACCAGGGGGCTTCCAGGATTTGTGCCACCGCTTGACAGCAGCTCTGACTCACGGGGATGACAGGTGGCCCTCCCTGCCTAACAGCGCCCTAGGGAGGACGGTGGCGTGATGACATGGTCAGTGTAAAGGCCCCTTCTCTTTTCCCTCCTGGCCATCCTGACCTGATGAGCCTTTCTGGAAGTCTGGATGCATGGCTACCCCACACTATATTGTGGGCCAATGATGTCTCACGTAGTCGCCAAAGTAGTGTGGGCTGAGTCCCTTTTCCAGCCCTGTGTTAGAAATGTTCGCTTTTTTTTTTTTTTTACTGTTACTTATTGTGTGTATATGGGGAAGGGTGGGGCACACACATGACATCATGCACATGTGGAGGTTGGAGGCCATCTTGTGGGAGTCAGTTCCCCCCCCCCCCCCAGCAGATGAGTTCCAGGGATTGAACTCAGGTGGTCAGGCTTGGCAGCAAGCACCCGTACCTGTTGAGCATCTCACCAACCCTCCAATGTATTTTAAATGTGACTGCAATGTCCTTCAGGGTTGTCTGCAGAATCCATCATCTTTACTTTTTCTGAAAAGAGTCAATTGCCCTGGGTTTTCACCATCACAGACTCCAGTAGCTTCACTTGATATATACATTTAAATAATATTATGAAATAGATATTGTTATTATATTTGTATATATAATATATTTTATATTATTAATACACAAGTAATATAAGGTAACTCATGCTAAAATTTAAATATGTATTAATATATCATAAAATACATGTATATTGATATAATTA